GGTGATGCTTACACGCAGACAAGGTCTTTGGCTGATCTCTTCCCACCCCCACCCCCACCTTCCCCCGGAGGTTCCACCGTCCATTGCAAGCTTCCACGTCGCTGTACGCACAGCACACTCTCTTCAAAGTCATTTTCCCAGGAGGTTTCTATAGCAGCCACCCAGACATGGTCTGATTTTCCAAGATAACGTTTCTCAGGAGTCACCTGTGACCAATGACACACGTGGGTAACTTGAGCGACGCCCACGTGAAGTGGGGAGTGAAATGCTGTCCTGGAAGCCGGAGCGGAGCCTGGGACTCCGTGTCGATCTCTGCTCCTCTGAGGGCAGAGGCTTCTCACTAGAAAGGCCGACGTCTGCCCACGTCTCAGCCAGCTGGACGGGTCAGGTCCGAGCCCAGCCTGTGCTGGACCCGTGCAGGCTCGGGGGGCACCCCACACGCTGGAATACTCTATTTCCAGTTCGGGAAAGAGAAAGCGTTAGGGTCCAGAATTAGCCATTCACCTAGCGGGACAGCCCTCGAGGGGCAGGCACGTGCTCCCTCCCCGTCGGCCACCAGCTCCGTGCCTGGCCCTGGGCCCTGTGTGCGACGGTGAACCCTCTCTCTCTCCTCACAGTCTCCTGCTTCTTCAACTTCACGGCGGCCTCGGGGGTCATCCTGTCCCCCAACTACCCCGAGGAGTATGGCAACAACATGAACTGCGTGTGGCTGGTCATCGCCGAGCCCGGCAGTCGGGTGCACCTCCTCTTCAACGACTTCGACGTGGAGCCTCAGTTCGACTTCCTGGCGGTCAAGGACGACGGCGGGCCGGACGTGACCGTCCTCGGGACGTTCTCCGGCAACGAGGTGCCCTCCCAGCTGGCCAGCAGCGGGCACGTGGTGCGCCTGGAGTTCCAGTCGGATCACTCCAACACCGGCCGGGGCTTCAACATCACCTACACCAGTGAGTGCCCCGCGCCCGCCCGCTCCCCCAGGGCCGAGCTTCAGAGTGCGCTGGGCTCGTTGTTTTCTTTTGGTTTTTATTTGTTTTTAATATATTTTATTGGTTTTTTACAGAGAGGAAGGGAGAGGGATAGAGAGCTAGAAACATGGATGAGAGAGAAACATCGATCAGCTGCCTCCTATACACCCCCCGCTGGGGATGGGCCCGCAACCAAGGTACACGCCCTTGACCGGAATCGAACCTGGGCCCCTTCAGTCCGCAGGCCGACGCTCTATCCACTGAGCCAAACCGGTCAGGGCTCTTTTGGTTTTTAAATGTGTTTTTATTGATTGGAGAGAGGAAGGGAGAGGGAGAGAGAGGAACATCCATGAGGAGAGAATCATCCCGTCAGCTGCCTCCTGCACGCCCCACGCTGGAGATGGAGCCTGTACCCTGGGCATGTGCCCTGACCAGGAATCAAACCAGCGACCTGTCGCTGCAGGAGATGATGCTCAACCAACAGGCCAGGCCATCTCAGAGGGTTTATAATCATAATTAACATCATGAGAACACCAAAGCGATGTATCGTTATCCTGGTGACCGAAAAACACACCTCTCTGTTAGGGTCCTGGCTCGGTCACCCCTGCAGTAAGGACTGAGTCTCTCACATGTCTTTTCTCTTCTTCCTCCCTCCCTCCCTCCCTCCCTCTCCCTGCCTGCTTCTCTCCCTCCCTCCTCTTTCTTCCTCCTTCCCTCCCTCCCACCTCTCTCCTTTCCTTCCCTCCCTCCTTCCCTCCTTCCCTCCTTCCCTCCTTCCTTCCTTCCCTCCCTCCTTCCCTCCTTCACGCCCCCCTCTCCCTCCTTCCCTCTCTTCCTTCCTTCTTCTCATCTCTCCATCCATTCGCCTATGCGCCCTCCATGCAAAAGAAAAAGAAATCATGTAGGGACAGGATGGAGGGTTTGGGCCAGGAGCCCACCCTGGGACACCTGTGGCACTTGGTGAACTCTGATTCGAGCTAATGTTACCTTCTCTTCACCTCTGACTTCTCCTTGGCAACAGGGATTCTATTGGGAGCACCCCCTGCAGTGCACGCTGAGGAGAGGTGGGTGGTGTGAGCTAAGAGTTGTGGCTTCCTGGCTGCCGGCTTCTTGAAGGCTCTGTGCTTAGCCCTGGCCAGGGCTCCTCTCATTGGACGGGACAGCATCTCTGGGCGCGGCTGGCTAGTCCTCGTTCTGTGAGGGAGGGGCGGGCGCTGCCCATCAAAGTGAACTTCCCCCGGGGCCTGGACTACGCAGGAGCCGGGACTCCGGCCAAGATGTGTCCGAACAACCCACCCATCCTCTCTGTCACCCTAGAGGGTGAGACAGGGCTGTCGAAGCTCATGGGTGGCAGTCACACCGCATGCCCGCCTTTCACTAGGGCGCAGTGTGCTGTGGAGGAGATACTGTGTTTGTCTGTAGGACTAGAGGGCTGAGGGCTGGGACACTGCGCTTATAAGCAGGTCTGTGTCCTGTGTGATGCGCAGAAGTGATCTCAGTCCACTTTCCTGTCCAGCGTTTGGTCAGAACGAGTGCCATGACCCCGGCATCCCCGTCAACGGGCAGCGCTCCGGGGACCGCTTCCTGCTGGGGAGCTCGGTGACCTTCCAGTGCGACGACGGCTTCGTCAGGACGCAGGGCTCCGAGGCCATCACCTGCGCCCTGCAGGACGGCAACGTGGTGTGGAGCGCCGCCGTGCCCTGCGAAGGTCCAGCGTTTGGTCAGAACGAGTGCCATGACCCCGGCATCCCCGTCAACGGGCAGCGCTCCGGGGACCGCTTCCTGCTGGGGAGCTCGGTGACCTTCCGGTGCGACGACGGCTTCGTCAGGACGCAGGGCTCCGAGGCCATCACCTGCGCCCTGCAGGACGGCAACGTGGTGTGGAGCGCCGCCGTGCCGCGCTGCGAAGGTGGGTGCCCCCCCTGCGGTGCCACCACGGGGGGTCCATGGCAGCACACACGGGCACACATGGGCACATGCCAGGCTTATACCACATGGACACACAGGGGCTTAAAACCACACAGGCACACAGGGCCTTACACCAACATGGGCACACGGGCACACTCCAGGCTTACACCACACGGGCACACAGGGGCACACGCCGGGCTTACACCACACGGGCACACAGGGCCTTACACCAACACAGGCACACAGGGGCACACTCCGGGCTTACACCACACGGGCACACAGAGGCTTACACCAACACGGGCACACACAGGGCACACGCTGGGCTTATACCACATGGGCACACAGGGGCTTACACCAACACAGGCACACACGGGCACATGCTGGGCTTATACCACACAGGCACACAGGCTTAGACCAACTCGGGCACACGCTGGGTTAGACGCAGACCTGCAGGATCCTCAGCCCTGGAGCTGCACTCGGGGACCCTCCCAGGCCATGGGGGCTCTGCTCAGCCTGGCTCCGGTGTGGGGGGCCGACACTCCCCACCTGCTGTAGCCTGAGCGGCCCCGGGGGGCGAGACTGCTCTCCTTGTTCTGTGCTAACCTCCCGCTGCCCTGCACAGCTCAGTGTCCGTAGAAACACTAGTGACCGGGGTGTGGGAAGAGGGAATTGCACACAAATATGTCACTCACTCCACACAGCACGTGTTAGAGTTCACGGGGACTTGGTGATTAACTAGCAAACGATACGTCACCCAAGTTAAAGTGCAGCACGTGAGTCCACAAAGGACCAGAAAAAGCTGTGATCAAAGGCTGACCATGGAGAAGCACGCGAGCACCGAGGAGCCCCTGGGCAGGTCCTGTGGGGCAAGTGCACGCGGGGAGCACCCCCACATGGGCCAGGCGCTGGCTCCTGCGGCATTTCACGACCAGTGTTCGTGGAACAGGCCCACACCAAGGTCTCCATGGAGACTCAGCCACAGAACACATGTCAGGTCGGGAAGGCTTATTTTAGGAACACGGTTGCAGGTGACACACCAGTGCGAATGGTCCGTACAGCAGAGGATGGCGTCCGCGAGCCCTGATTCCCACGCTAGCAGGTTGTCGTCACGTGTGTGAGCACGCGTGTCACTGGCACACGTGTCTGCCTCCCGCTCTCCACCACACGGTCTTCGCTTCCTGCGCCCCTGTGGTTGGGCAAGACCCTGTGCTGGGTTCTGGCCAATTCGGTGTAAGTGGCAGCAGAATTGTCAGCTTCCGGCCCGAGTGCCGACATCATCACTGAACATTTGAGGGTTCACCTTTGTCGCTGTGTAAAGACCCGCCTGTCTTTCATCAGGACGGAGTGACACAAGGTGTCCAGGGCCCTGCACAGAACACAGTGATGTGCACAGATGCCACAGGCGGAAAGAATGATGTGTGACAGGCTAGGGGTATCCCATGAGGGAAAGGAGACACGTAGGGAGTGTTCATGCAGATTTAGGAACGTCTGAGGTAGTGAAACCATTCCTACGTCTGTATTTGCTGTGTGTCTTTCTCAGATAGTATCTGTGGGTACGGCTGACACATGAAATAAGTGTCATGAATGTGCTGCCGAAAAATCTCAGTGCAGTACGCTGCGTTCACTCGGGAATCAGTTTTGCTTTAGCACTTGGGGGCATTCACTCCGCGAGCACAGCAGGGCGCCTTCCTGCTGCCAGTGGGGCGTGCAGGGTGGGGTGTGTGGAGTGGGGTGTATGGGGTGG